ACTCTGTGAATAAAAGAAAGTATGGTCAATCACAATGGGCTAAATCTATAGCCAAAGATTAGTGGCAACTACAGTAGGAGAAGCTTCCATGGTTAGTTTCCTCCTAGTCTTCTTTCCTACTGTCCTCCTTGGTCCATAAACTATTACTATCAGGTTAAGATGCTCACATATTTGAATTAACCCAAATTTTTTTTGGCTCCTGCATAGAACCCTGACTAACTACACTGCTATTCTGTAAAAGAACTGTGAAAGAACATGGCACACTACTTTGGGTTTCAAATTTATCATGTGAATGTAGCTTTCGTTTTGGAGAATAGCATGGAAAATATTTACTTGGATATTGATATCTTCACAAATCATTAACTTGTCTTTTGCAAATGATGATGATGATTATGGGATAGAGATGTGAATCAAGTGTAGCTGAGTCACAGTGGTTTTTCCAAGAACTTTGTGACCATGGGTTCAGGGTTTAACAGTTTTCTTTAATAGGAAATCTCAGCTTGGAAGTTGACCTTGAACTTCTAATGAATGTATTCAGTCTTTTGTAACCCATGATATTGTTGGCAACGTGTTCTTTTTCTTGCTTCCCACTTTTAAATGGGTTAGTTGATTCCATACAAGAATTCTTGGTGCTCCTGCAGAGAGTAGAAGTGCAGCTTCCTTTCTTACTAGAAAGGAAAATGAGGCCTTCTAGAACCTCCTGCTAACATCCAAAGATGGTAAACAAAATAGTTTGTAATAACCATCTTCATTAATTAACAGAGGTCTATTTTGCTGGGACATATAACCTTCTCCGTTGATGGATTCAGACCAAATGTTTGTCCCCTTAGGGACAAATTCCCTTTGCTCTCTCTCTGTCCCCTCATAATTTTTAGGCAACCTTCTAAGGTATTTTTTTTTAATTATTGGCCTTTTAACTTGATTTGAAATTGTAGTCTAGTTCTGCCCAGTCATTGTGCACATTGTAAATAGCTTTAAGTATGCTTTCATGGGATTGAAAAGTATCCTATTGTGTATTTAAATTGTTCTTTTTCACTTTGTAGACCTTATAATATACCTGAAAGCAAAGACATAAGAAAAGATGGCATTGAAGTTAATGGATTACAGTACAATTTTTGTATTGTATGAACACAGTTTGTGTGATGAAGTGTTTTATGGAGTTCTGCCACAGGACGGTAAAGAATTGCTAGTTTTCAGTAGATGCTAAATGCTGCACACTTCCACATTGATCTACATTTGTTTAAATGTGGTAAAGAATCTCAACCATTTGTGAAGTGAGGGTCAGGTGTGAATCATCAGTGAGAGTCTTCTGACAGGTCTTATGATAGGGAGGTTACTGATACTGACATCCCCTAAATTCCTAGATGTTATCTAGTCTGGTAACCAACCCACAAGCTCAGAGAATGAACATTCACCTTCATCCTACACCCCAGCTACAGATGTCTGACAATATGTTTTTTCCCCAAGTTGAAGATGAGATCTTCTAAGCAACTTTGCAGTCAAAGCACCATAGCAGAATTTGGGCTGTCTTAACTCTTCAGGATTTCTCACTTCCCTTTAGGCCAAGGTGCAAGAGAGCAAATGAAATGCTTTTGGTAACACTTAGCTTCTGACAAGCAAGGTGGCTGGCTGGGTTTCTCTTTTCTCACCTTCTGTCTCTGTGGCTATGGTCCAAGTAGGTCTGTTTTGCACAGCAGAGAAAAAGAAGTCACCCTGAAGCATGACGAGTGCGGAAGAATTACTTTGATTGTGGAACTGGTGTTCTCTCAAGCCTAGTTGTCCTTTTCAAATGAAGACACAACACACATTTATTTATACGATATCAGATGAAGTGATGAATAGCTTCTGCTTTTTAGAATCATCAAGGAAAAATGGAACCAGGAGTCAAGAAATACAATATAGACTGATCTTCTTCTTCCCAGCATATTCCTGCAGGTGCAGGGTCTGCTTTTCAGATCATTGTGTGCCACTTTGCACAGTCAGTTGCATCTCCAGGGTGCAGGCTCATGGCCTGCATATCTTCGTTGATGGTGTTTTGCCATCTGTTTTGAACATCCATGAGGTTGCCGGCCATTGACTTCTAGTTGATAGGGAGTCTTGGCCATGGTGGAAGATGCTGCTCTCTGGATATGTCCATACCAGCGGAGTTGAACTCCTCTCATCTTTTCTATAATTAGTGCCACATACAATACAATACAATACATACAATGCCAAATACAATATAGATAGAAATAAAGGCCTTAGAAAAGATATTTTGATGCTGTGATGAATCAATAAATATCTGAGAAGTTCAAATACTGGTTTTCCTTGTGACACTCTAAGGAAGCAAATTTTGGAATCTGAAGCAGCATAGAAAGGATACTTTTGAATCTCCAGAGTTGATAAAGATTCCTGAGAACACCATGGACAGTCAAGGAAACAAATAAATGGCTCATTGAATGAATCAAGAGTTCTTATTTAAGACACAAATCATGTTTTGGACAATTTATGCAAAGATCCAACTTTCTTGAGAATTCTATAATGCTGAAAATATAGAAAGTGGATGACCACAAGCAAGATGTGCAGACTCAATTATGATGGTGATGATTGCATTACTGAAAGTTATGAAGGAGCAGGTTGGGGATGGATTTCTTGGAGAAGTCAATTTCTAGTTCATAAGAATCAACACAAAGTTGGTGGCATATAATCAATGGGAAAAAGAGAATGATCAGCATCAAGGTACATGGACTCAATTAGTGGCTTTGGAGACATGATTGGAAGATATGAAGGACCAGGTTGGGCACAGATCTTCCTGGAGTTGTATCTCCACAATTGCTCAGTCAGGGATGACTTGATGGTATATAACCATTCAGCCAACCAACGCAAAGACCTAGCTCCCTTGAGAAGTCGATAATATTTGGAAAATTAGAAGAGGATAACCAAAAAAATCAAGGTGGATGGACTCAAGTGATGGAGGCAACATTGAGAGATCTGAAGGACCAGGTTGGGCACAGATCTTCCTAGAGTTCTATTTCTCCAGTTGCTCAGTCAGGAATGACTTGATGGTAAGTAAACAACTATTCAGCCAACCAATGCAAAGACCTAGCTCCCTCGAGAAGTCCATTATACTTGGAAAATTGGAAGAGGAGAGAAGGATGACCAGAGAAACAAGATGGACTCAAGTGATGGAGACAACATTGGAAGACCTCTGAAGGAGGACCAGGTTGGGGACAGGTGTTGCTGGAGAAGGTCGATCTCAAGTCAACGGAGACTTGGTGACCCACAATCCATCAAATATTTGGTTTAAATGCGTAAATACACAACCACCATAGAGAGGAGCATCCACAAACGAGTTTATAGGACGCCCCTAGGCGGAATCTTCGTGGGAGGGCTTTAAGCTCCTCCACCAATCAGTGACACCAGATTGTCCTCCCCCCCCCCACTATTCTGAGGGAGGGCTCCACTTCGAAGAGGCATGTCGTCATCTGAGGGGCGGGGCAACAGCTGCGGGGAAGAGAGCGCGAGAACAGTTGCCCGCGGACCAATGGGAGCCCGCTACGCCTTCACGGCAGCCAGCTCAATGCAGTTGGTTTAAAAAAAAAGGGGGGGGAGGGGGGAGTGGAAACGCCGCTGGTGCACAAAATGCATGGGCGGAGGGAGGCAGGCAGGGAGTGGAGTGGGGGGAACGCAGCGAGAAGGGGGAAACGAGAGAGAGAGAGAGGCGAGCCAATAGCGAGCCGTAGCCTGGGGACAGGCGTAGCGCGAGCTCGAGCCAGGAAAGGCGGCCAATGGGTTTCTGGAGGAAGGCGAGCCAATAGGGAGGTGGCCTGGGCGCAGGCGCGGTGGTGGGGAAGCCGAGGCGCGCGCCGGCCCCGCCCCCCCTCTCCCTCCCTGCCGCAGTAGTGGCTGAGGGAGCGAGGGCGGCCATTTTGGGAGTCTGGGCAGGGGCGCGGGGTGGGGGAGGGGAGCTTCGCGGAGAGACGGCAAAGACAGGCAGAGGCTTCCCTCACGCACTCGCTCGCACACGGCGCAAGATGGCCGGGCGGACGGCTGCTTCGCGAGCGGCTGCGGCTTCCCCCCCACCCCCCCTGTTCTCGGGGGTGCCTCTCCCGCCAACCTTCCCGGGCCGAAAGCGGCCTCAGGGTCGAGGGTCTCCGCCGGCCCGGGGTCCCCGAGCTGGGGGTGGTAGTGGAGAGGGTATCCTGTCCCCGTTGAGGCGGACCCGAGAGCAAGCCTCTGCGGCAAGGCAGCCTCGACTCTCCCGCCGCCCGCCCGTCCGCCCTCCGGGATGCCTCCGCTCGACTCGCCTGGCTTCCCTCGCCCCTCAGAACGGTGAGTATTGCCTCAGCTGCCGCCCTGCCATGTCCTTCTCCTCCGTCTCTGCCGCCGCCCTCCGCCATTGTCTCTTTGTCCTTGAGAAGGAAAACAAGATGTCCTTGGAGCCGCCTGAGAGATGGCGGGCGGATGGGGGGGGGGCGAGAAAGTCGGCACGAACCCGTCTTCTCTGCCGGAGTCCCGCCGGGGTGTATATGTGAGGAAAAAAGATCCCGACCCGAGCTCCTCGAAAGCGAAAGAGAGAGGGGGGTCCCCCAAAGTAGACTCGGGTCGCCGAGGCTTCCCCGACGTTAGGAATAGGTGACTTCCAAGATGGGCGTCGAAGGGGGAAAAAGAAAGCCGCCTTTTCTTCCTCGGATTGGAGTTTTTCTGGTAGAAAGCCGGTGAGCCCCCTTCTCCCCTAGTTTCGGGGTGTCCCCCCCCAAATTTGGGGGGTTCGTGATGGTGGGGGGGGGGGGGGGGGGGGAGAGAAGGACTTAGAAGAAAAGAGGGATCGATCCCGGCGACGAGGTGGGATTCCTTATTGGTTTTTATGGGTTTTTTTCCTCTGGATGTGGAAAGTCCACATTTGTGGGTGTGGATGCTCCTAAAATGAATTGGGGGAAGGATTTATAAGGAATGAAAAAGGTAATGTGGAATTCAAGATGGTGATGGGGGGCTTTTTCTTCCCTTATTTTTTGTATGGTAAAGAAACACCCTTTAAAAAAAAAATAGAGAACCCCCCCACCCCCCAGTTTTGAATTGAGGGTTCCAGGTAAGATTCCTGGTTAGGCGCAAAGCCGTATCCAAGGAGGTTGATGTCAAACCAGAGCCGCCATTGAACTGCAGTTTTCCTCCTTTCTTCCCTCCTCCCTTACCCAGCAGAAATCTAGGGTTTATATCCCTACCCCACCCCCAAATATCAGGGGGGGTCCTTGCAATTCTTCCCCATAGAGATTTGCAAGGTCTGCATGCTGGATTTCTGTAATTTTTTTTTCTTGGAATAAATGACTGAAGGGCAGGTATATGAAGGGTAATTTGCTATGGAGCTACAGGGAGGGGGGGGTCTGCAGCAAATTGGGACAACACCCTCTTAAAATATTTGGAGCAGGGAAATGAAAGGTATATACTGTGATTCCACGTACAGGATGTCTACGACAAAAAGTCTCGAGTTCTTAAAGAGTCGTCCTCCATTATGATTGAAAGAGGAAAGGAGCCCTGTTTAATTTTTTCTTCTTCTTCATGTAAGAACAAAAGACGCCATGGCTGCCTCTTTCTCTCCAAACAAATTTGTTTTTCTGTATTTGGGTGTTGGCATTTAACTCTTTCTCAACTAGGTATGTGGAAACAATTTGCAAACAAGATATTTTTTTTTTGTCAGTGATAACAAAATCGAAAAAAACATTTTTTAGCCAAAATGAAAGATTCTAATGAAAGTTCAAGATGAAATGTATGAGGTTTTTAAAATACATGCATCTTTTAAAACTATGCCAGTTATCTAATTGAGTAAGCTAAAACAAGCAATAGATAATGAAATATACATGAAAACAGTTTTAAAAGTTGGAGAATGTGTTTTTGTGATGTGTCAAATTTGAAGTTTGAATTTTCTAGCAATTTTATGCAAATTTAATCTTTAAACCTCTTCATTGAGCGAAAGTAAAACCTTAAAATGTTTTCTTACTTTTTCATTGGTTTCAGTAATAATGTTTGGAACTTAACTGTTAAAATGAACATTTGGATGACAGGCTGTCCATTTTTAAAATGGTTGTGTTAAATTTGTCTTAGTGTCTATATTTTCCTTCTGGATCAATACGTAATATTTCTTAGGCTGTGTAATGTTTACCGGATAAGAAAGTTCTGGCATGTAGCGACCATTTGTTATATTTTTATAATACTAGCAAGTATTTTACAATCCTTTGGAGATGTGGCTTTAACTGATTAATCAAACAAAAGCTGCTGTGAAGTATGTATTTAAACATTCTATATAGAATAAGTAGTTCTGAGATTTCACTGAAACTTTAAAGTTATTATGGATTTGAAAGATGTATGATTGAAAAATTGCAATTAAGCCAACTGTTAAAAATTGCCAGGTTTTTTTGTTTTGTTTTTACAGAAAATGAGATTAAAGTGGGAGTAAAATTTGGATACTTCTGTGGATTATAAAAAAAAACTTCACTCTCAAAACAGCTTTATAAAATTATCTCAGATGAAATCTCAGTTAATATAATGTAATTCCATCGCTTCAAACAGTAGAAGTATTTTAAATGTGTATAACCTTGAGAATAAGAGAAATCTAAACATGTTTGACTTTTCTCATAGTTGGAGTTGCATGAGTATTGGTTTTGAGATGGACTTTGTTATGGCACTTTTGTTGTGTCTTTCTTTTAAGAGAGGGTAAAAAAAGATTGCATTAAGTAGAAAACTTGTACATAAATACTTTTTCATAGTCTGGGAAATTTTAAAAAATAGTGCTTAACTTTATAGATAGCACTGACATAATTTTAAGTATTTTATTTAATAGATATCTACAAATATTAAGAGAAAACATTTTTGATTAATCCAAATATATTTTTCTTTAGGTGTTCCATGAATATTTGCCAGCTCAATAACTGATGGCTTATAAGAGTTGCCCAGAATTTTTTATAGGTAAGAATTAACTCATTTTGTTTCTCAGCTTGGAAGAAATATGTCCCTTATATATAAAACATTTACCCTAAAAAGAACAAAAATAAAACTTCAGTATGATAATGATGAAAATATTTGATTAATGTTGAAAAAATTGGTAATTCCGTAATACTCGCACCAAAAGGATGATCAATTTACATCCAAAATGTGCATTATAAATACGTAGATATATATATGTACATGCACACACATGTGTTTGAGGACTTTTCTGTAGTTTTTCCGCTTTAAATCTTTTTATGTCTATGTTGAATGCCATTTTTGACACAAATATATGCATATATATATATATATTATATATATTTTCTTATTTAAAGATGTCCTTGACGTCTAATAACTAGGAGGATCCGGATAGAGCTAAAGGAGAACATGTTAGCAGTTTCAGGTATTTTTAAATTTATTCTTATTTGAATAATGCAGATCTTTTACATCTTGGTTTCTTTCTAGCCTTTATGTCTCTAACAGAATCTTTGCTTGGAATTTGGAATACCTTTGTAAACCTTAAAAATTAAAGTTTTCAATATTACTACAAACTCATTATAATTGTTAAATATTATAACACTTACTATTTCTAGCACCAGAGATGATATTAACAATATTTGGAAATGATTACTTTGCTATCAAAACAAAAGCTCATTGAGTAGCTCATGTTAAATTTTAAGTTATCTTTAATGTTCATAAGCACGTTGAAATTTTAACTAAACTTCATTTATGCTCCTAAACACTGTCATACTTCCAATTATCCAATTGCTAGTTTCTACAATCCCACCCTTGTATTGCATCAGTTTATTTATTAAATTTAACATTAAAACCTGATGAAGTAAATTTTGTTCAAACAGTCATTTACGTAATAGAAAATTTATCCTATAATACATCTAGAGATACATTTTCCTTTGCATAATCCAGGTTTGAACTGTAATTGAATGTTGATACAAGGTATTGTTAAGTATGAACACAGAAAAGAGATTATATAATTCATTCACAGAGTTTTCGCTCTCAGCTTGGTTAACATTTGAAAAATTAAAAAAATAGAGGTTCTTAAAACAAGATGCATGTTTTAATCAGAGATTGATCAAACTTCTATAACTAGTTTAGTTTTTTTTTCTATTTTTACTAAAAACCCAGTACTTTTAAGTTGTTTAAACTGAGAGTACATTTATTAATTTAAGACATTACCTTCAAATGTTGAATCTGACTATCATATTTGCCATATGAGCTACCTGGAAAAGTAATAGTGAAGTAGAAATATAATAAATAATTAAATACAAAATACTGATAAAAATAATGTAATCCTTTATTTTACTAGTAAATAATTAGCCCAAGGAATTAGCCCAAATTAAATTGCATTTCCATTTACATGGTTTTAAGAGTGAACAGAAAACTGGCAAAATATCATCCCTTGTGTCATTTTTAGGACAAATCTTTTAGACCTAGAATAAATGTTGAGAATAGGTAATTCATATGTTTTTACTCCTTTCAGAGTCCTAGAACATGCCCATTGCACATCACCATTCAGGCTAGAACGAAAGAACATTTAAGTTTAAATTTTTCTGCTTCTGCACCAGATATGTTGAAATATTAAGTTTCATCATTTTAATTGATGATGACTTCGGCATATTTTCTTTATTTTTGTCAAAATTCAATAGTAAAACACCTTGTATTTTTTGGTAAATTATAATTTCTATACAACTATAATGAATGTTGTTAAAAGGATACTTCAGGGTCAAGAATAGAAGCTATGTTACTGCATTGATTTAGTTGTTTAGACTGGAGTCTAGATTCAAGGAAATTGGAAAATCTTAGATTTCGCCTATATCGCTTTAGAATTGCGAATCATTATATGATTCTGGGTTAATTCCCTCGGCAAGTATTGTGGCATAAAAAAACATCTAACACTTAAGCATGTTTTCTGTGCTATAATTAAGGATAAGTATCAGTATATGAAATGTTGATGTTTATAGCATCCACTAATTGATAGCATAATAAATTCTGTTTATTGGGAAGGTTATGAATGTGTCAATACTAAAAAATGAACAGAGTATGAAAATCTGGAATCTGTATTTTTGAAAAACCACGTACCTGTACATTTCTTCTGAAATGTATTATAGTCCACTACATGTTGAGGTCAGACTAATAAAATATTTCAATCTCTAAAGTTAAAATGATGAAATGTAAAGACAACCATCACCACTGTCTCCCAAAACAGGAAACTTTTAGTATATCTGTTAAATTTGCAGTTATACAAAAATGTATCCCAAAATGTTTGGTAGGACTTGCTTCAGAGAAAATATGCCTTGGAAAATGATATTGACTTGTAAGGAAAATCCATCTGTTAATTAATCCAGCATTGACTTTGCTACACTTATGCAAATTAGAATTGTTTCCAAATTGGAAACTTACATATTCTGTAAGAATTCCTAACAATGTTGAGATGTAAATGTGAAGAAATAGAGGTACCTCATTAGAGTATTGCCAGAACATGTCTAGTAATATCTCTCCCCCACCTCCACCTCCAATTATTGAATGAAATCAAATGAAGAAAATTAGGTAAATACTCAAGTAGCTGAGAAATTCAAAAGTTTCAAAATTGTAGATAGAATATTTCATCTTGGAGACTTCTGAAGCTGATACGTTTGCAAATAGTTCATAGAATTATTAGTTACTATGGCACTTTAAGGATTCTCGTAGTTTTTGTCCAATACATATGGCAGTTCCAAGATTCTTCTTGGAATTTAACAATCTTGCTAAGTTCTAAATCTAAATAACAACAGTGATACAGGTTTATTAAATTCATTTTGGATTTTGAAAGATGTCAAATAGTGTTGTATAACTTACAGACTTTGATTAGCTTCCTTGATTTTTTTCCCTTAAAGAGTATTAGGATATTTAATGTATCAGTGCATGCTATACTATTTATTTCTTTTTGCATATGTTTGTGTTTGTGGTTTTAAATTTTTTAAAATATTAAATTTACAGAATTGGTATAGTGTTGTGATTAAGGTGTTGGACTAGAAATCAGAGATTCTAGCATCCTTGGTCACAAAGCTCATTGGGTGGTTTTGGGCCAATCTCATTCTCAGCCCAACCTACTTCAGAGAGTTGCTGTTGTGGAAACAAATAGGAGTGAATGCTTAAATACTCTCCCTTGCCATATACAAAAGTTGGGATATGCACCTAATAAACTTGATTATCTAAATGTGCATTTAAAATATTTAAACGTTGATTGGTTGTATTTAAAGTCTAGCTGCAATATTAACACTTGCTCTGAAAGACATCTCTATGAAAAAATAGTCCCAATATTTTCACAGCACATGACATTCATAATCTATTCGTGTTTGTACTTTGCTATTGTCCAAAGAGCAATTGGATGACACATAAAGATAGTGGGACTTGCCCTAGGGCTGCCCTATGAGTCATCTTTATTGTACTTTTGATTAATTTCTAGAGGTAGGTGGGATTGATGTGTGATAAATTTTTTTCCTGTTGCTAGATAGTGAGATAGGAGAAGGGTAACATAAGGAAGCCCTAAAATGTAATACTCACAGACTTTCACAAAAAAAGCCTATCGTACCATGGATTCATAGTGCATAAAGTAGTCTTTGCTTGAGAAAACAAGCAGCATTTTTATGTTTTAGTCTTGAAAATAGTCTTAGTGTACTAAGAACACTCAGTGAAATCACATTTTTTCTGAATAAATATAGATAGGATTTTATTGGTGATATATTAAATTAATTTATTAAACAAAAGATATTTAATCTTTCTCTCCAGGTACATTGAACTGATTCCACAAAATACCTGATTCTGTATGGTGTACTGGTAAGTTGCTGTCTCAGTATATTACTATGAGTGCTTTTGTAACTGTTTTAGCATGTTTTGTGGAAAAGATCTAAAATTACAAATCTATGAATTAAATGAGCCATGTTTCCAGGATAATTTTAATAAAATCAATCCGTAATATTCTTGGAGAAAATTACTTTGCTATCATTAGGAAAATTGTATGTCTGAACACTTTTTCAGATAGTATAATAAAAATATACCCCTCTGAATCTACTATATTGGTATGAAGGGGTCTGCTTACCCTTCTTATCAATACATTTCTTTTTTATTGATTGCCATTTTTTTCATATATATATATATATATATATATATATATAGAGCCAATTTTTGGTTTAAAGTAGTTTGCTCCAAGAAAAGCATTACCTGCTCCTGTTACTTGTACAATCATTTTAACAGGTTAATTTTGAAACTAGATGTCTAACTTAAAGTCTATCATTTGTTTAAAATTGTAGAAAGATTTGTTCTAGCATCTCCTGGGTTATCTATAATTATCCTATTGCATGGGCTGAAAATAAATTTTAACATTCATTGAGATACATAGAATCTAAAGCTTCTTTTCAGAATATGGCATATCTGTGATCATATAAAAGTTCTATAATACTATCACTGTAATAACACGGACATGTTTTAAAAATATACTAGCTGGTTTTCTAAAATCTATTCAGTGTTAGAAACAAGATCATATTATTTAATGCAAGGTTTAAAAACATTGTGCTATATTTTCCTTTGGTCAACAGAATCTGTTGTTCAAAAATTGTGCTAAAGTTTTAGGGTATATATTTAATGTGCTATGAGATAGAATTATCATTGATGTATATTTGGATTCTAGGAAAATTCTTTATAAATCAGATCATCTCATTGAAGGATAGCATTTGAGAGCAGTAGCTACTTCAGTTTGTTCTGTTAATAAACATTTTTCTGGAGTGATTAACTGTTCAGAAAGCCAAGTTGGGTAATTCCTCCAGAATCCTGCATCTGAATGAGTATGTTGTGGTGTGATGAAATCATACTCCATGTAAGCAGTTCTCAACCCTTAACAAAATCTCAAGAAGGGTAATGTTCAGTCATTCTGTTGATATATTTATTATTTATGGTAAATTTGAAGACTTAACAGTTTAAGTGATTTACCCCTACTCTTACTTGGAATTTTTCTGCACCTCACAGCAATTGAGAACTACAGTTCTATATATTGCATTGTTCAGATCAGCCTTACTCCACCCATTTGCCATTGGTTGGCTGGCAGTTTAAATACAGTGGTGACTTTGCCTTCAATAATATGAAGAGCACTAACTAGAAAACAATACTTTAGACAAACCAACTCAGTTGATTTATCAGAGTTTTTGTACAGAAAGTTGAGCTTTATTTGCTTAACAACAGGATACTACTATTGAAAAAGTTTAAGACATAGAGGAATACCTAGTCCTAATATTACTAGACTGCAATTTTAGCAGCTTTCACATTGGGCTTTGCTATTTGGCTTGATGGAAATTCTATTTGAACAACACCTTGAAAGCCACAGTATCCCAAACGCTTTATTTCATTACAATAAACATGTTATTTGAAAGTACCATTGAACTTAGGATAAACTCAGACCTGGAATTATAAATGTAAACTATAATTTATAATATCAGCACATCTCCCTTGATTAATTTTGTTGGAGAATCTAGTTCAAGATGATCCGAAGCATGTAATAATTAGATATATGACTTTTATACATTAACATAACATGCTACAAACAAAACAAGAACTAGAAATGTTTGAAAATGTAACAATTTGACTGTATGATCAATTTATGGGACAACACATTAAACAGGACAAGAGAAAACTAGTGACGAAAAATAGGAGGATTTTATATGCACCTTTAACTAAAAGGTGTTTGTTTTCTAAATATCTCTTTCTGTTTAACTGAAATGTTTAAACAATAATTTACCAAGATAATGATAGTTTCATGTTACATGTTCCCTTTGCATTCTAATTAATTTAAATGTTGAGATTCTATCATAAATGCTTTTTATTTGTTGTTCCAGAGTTCTATAAGCAATATTTTACAAACAAACGTTAATATCAATTAAGTCCCACATGGCAGTAGTCTTACTTTTTGGCATGCAGTCCCCAAAACATATTTACCATGAATTTTTAGTCATATTTTAGCTATGGTAAAAAACCAGCAATCATAGAGCACTGGGCCAGATCTTAGGTAGTTTATGTGAGTGAAGTGTATCTGTTAAAATATGTGTCCTCTTTTCCTTTGTAAGCAGTTCATTGAAGGGATTCTTATAAAAAAAGTGAAGGTTAAGATAAGAAACGTTGGTTCCTACCAAAAATTTCATATGATTTGTGTGCATATACAGTAGTGACAATATAATAAAACTAAATAAATAGTAAGACCATGTCTTTCATCCAACAGAACTGTTAAATGGGAATAGATAGTCCTTTAAAACACAAATCAATGTTTATTTTCTTCTCATTTGTTCCATATTTGTTCCTCTTTTTGACTTTAACTAAACAACCCCTGCCCCCATTGGGTTATCATTCCAGATATATTTCTTTACCACATTTCTCAATTCCTTCAAAAATGGCAGAATTCTTAATGTTTCAGAAAAGTTCTTAAAAATTCAGGGAGATATTCCGAGCTGTATCTGCCTTGAAAGTAGCCCATATTGAACTGTATAGCACACACAATAAAAAACAGGAGTTGATCAAAGGAAATATTTCATAAGGTTTTGTATTATGTAATAACATATTTTATCATAATTTTATGTAATATTTTATAAAATTTCTCAAATTTCAATTCTGTGGAATCCATGGGTTCCAGGTTTTGGACTCAATCTGTAAGTTAGCCCATTTGAGGTACTTTGGTTCCAAAATAGTTGCTCCACTTTTTCCCAGTCAAAGGATACAGTCACAAGAGTTTCAGTAATATAGAATCTCTTTGGGAAAACCTTGTTTGCTTGCTGCCTGTTTCTCAGTCTGTTACCTACTGAAGAACATCCTATGGCACCCATAGTTCTTCAGCAGCTACTGGCAAAACCTAAATGAATGTTTATCTCAGTACTTTGCAAAAGTAGCAATAGTTAAAAGTTGAGCTTTAGTTTGTTTTCTAAAAATACTTCTTTGGGCTAATTGAAATTCTGAAATTCTTAAAATTGTCAGATTTTCTAAGCAGCAAATAATTGGGATTTAGATGATCTCATTTTTAGGAAATTGTATATTAAATACAGCTTAGAATACTTGGTCCCCTCCATTTAAATGATTAATTTTGAATCTTTTACTCATAATATCACCCATCGTACTATTGTTCATTTATTGAACAAAAGCTTTAAATATTGACACAGTCCTATATTAACATGTGGAATTAACTCAGTATTGCATTATCACCATACCTAGGGAATTACAAAATTTAAGCATTAAGAATATAATTTATGAAAGAATATTTTACACAATCAAAAACTTGGGGGTTCAATGGAAATGAATATGTATGACGTGTTCTGATGTGTTTATTCTGTTGTTACTTGTTACACAATCTGTTGAACCATTGAGGTTTCTAAAGTAAAAACATATACATTGGTTTTGTAGAAAATGATCACTTTTGACATTTCCTTTTGGATTAATACAACTGAGTTATGGGAAAATGCTAGTTAAATTCACCTTAAAAATGGAAAATAGCAACTATTCAAAATTTTGTAGTTATTTCTGTCTGAGATTTCCAGTTTGTTAATGTATCTCTGATACATTTGAAAGTCCAGTTTGTTAACGTATCTCTTGCTTATGGTGTTTTCATAGAAGTAGAATGGATGCAATGTCATTTGTGGCCCTTCAATTGGATTGTACCCAAATATAGAATATAAGTAATATATTTCTGTTGATAGTTATATTTAAAACAGCTTAACTTGGATGTTTTTGTGGTTGGACTCTATTAAATCATTGGCATGTGCTATATAGTTTTTGGAATAATAACAGAAGCTATGAAGTTTTCTCAACTTTACTTTTTAGATAGGGATTTTTCTTCTTCCCCTTTGATCTGCTTTTGTTGCCATCACACATTTTGCTGAATTTCTCCTCACTGCAAAAATGGTTTTGACTTGGATGAATTTAAATTTAACATATCTATGTTGTCAATATTTCTTTTTATTTGAAGCCATTAAACATAATTTACACATTAGCATGGGATGAGGGGAAAAATTAAGGTAGATGCAAGGAACCCAAGATGCCTTTAAGATACTTGGTTGCAGCAAAATGGTGGCTTGAGTTCATGCTATGCTGCTGCATTTACAGTACAATGAAATAGTGGGTAGTGGTAAGAAAATGGGAGGTTCTTGATATAACCAATCAAGGGATGACATGTTCTTGAACCAATCACTATGGTTTCTCCATCCCTAGCTTCCCATTTTTTATTTGATAGCTACATTTGGAATCCATCATGAATAAATCTTTCCCCAACTTTTCCAGGCATTAAAAGTATCAGTTTTATCCCTCATAGTTTTTAGGGATCAATATGTTTTGCTGGTGCTATGCGAGAAAGAAATTTCTTCATTTCTGAAGCTTTTTTGGAAACACAATTTGAAGAAAATGTTGACTTTGACATTGATTTTGGCAGGTCTGCTGAAATTCTCCAGTAATTGCTAGGTATTCCACAGAAAATCTCCTCCCTTCAAATAAGCATATTTGATGCTGCTTCATCTGTTGGATCCTGCCCCTAGAGTAAAATCAGATGGGGATAATTAAGTTCTGGTTAAGAAGGGACAAGAAAATAATGAGGCTACAATGTCATTTTGATTAAACAAGCCAAGGTACTTGTCCACATAAAATTGAACCTTGCAATAATGTAACTTTCACATGGCAAGGCATACTTTGGGAGAATAAGATAATTTATTATTAGGAATTTTATAAAAGTCTAAATAATTTTTTCAGTTTTTGCTTACATAAACCAGAATAAAATAATCTTATATTAGAAATAAGCTGAGATAACTTTGTATACAATCAATTCTATTTTCTGATAAAATTACTTGTTTAGTACTTTTCCTTAGGCTTTTCTTTTGGACACCTGTTAAATCTATAGCAGAAGATGTATCTATTGTTTTCTCCAGTAGTGCTACATTGCTGGCAAAAGTAATATATTTTCTAACACTGAAGCCTCCATTTTGCTTTTATGTTGCCCATTAAAATTCCAGAAGTCATGCCTGTTTGCTTTGGAGTTTTTTTAAGCTAGATTCTACTTTCAACAGAAAGCTAAAAAAGGGAAATGCATTGCACGTTAATATTGTTAAAATATTATTCAATATATTATTCTTGATATTGATTTAGCTTTTTACAATGTGTTGAAAATGTTTATGCTCAGATATGTTGATTATTTTAAATTTAAGGATAAAATTACCTGCATTCCAATAGCATTTTCTTTTAATTTTTTTTATAAAGAGTCCAGAGAAAGGAAGAAACTCAAAAGGGAGACAACGATTTCCAAATCAAGATGGCAGTTCCACTGCTGAGAGGTTCAGAAAGTGAACTCTAGTGCATGATTGCTGAGTATGCCCTTCCAAGAAAGGGATTCTTTAACATGGACTACGATTGTCTAACCTACAGAAGATTTGAGCTAATTGTAATCTTATATTCTGTTTTTAATTTATTTTTTTAAATCTGTGTTTCCAGACTCTTGGGATTAGCATTCAGTTGGGGATGAAGGGCTGGAAGGGGCTGATCAAATTTTGCAAACAGGAATGTATAAAAATGTCTCTTCCCTATTTAATTGGCACAAGTGCATTGCTATTTAAATAAAGTGTTTTTTCCATATTTATTCTTGTTTGTCATCTTTTGGGCTGAAACATATGATTTGTTTTTGGTATCAATGGGAACTGTTTGATTATTGAATGAGCTCAATACTTTCATCAACTATTTCAAAACTTTGAACGATTCCTTAGTTTGTCCTTTCAGTAAGATTATAAACTTAAGAGAGTTTTTATGTTCTGTATTATGATTGTTATTACTGTTTGTAAAATGTCAGTTACATGTTCTCCTAATATTGGTTAAATGAAGATGAGCATAATTCACACCTATGAATTGGTGCAATTCTTAGAACAGTACAAATCTAATGATGTGTTTTCTGTGGATCTATGGATGAGCATTGTGGTCTGGACCTTCTAAGGCTCCTTTAATATTCATGTACCTAAAAACTGACACCTGCTGTTCTGAATACTTGTATACTTAAATTTCCTTGTTGTTGTATGTGGGTTTGATCATACATAACAATACTACTTGGTTTACTGTTGATACAATGTCCAAAGCTTTCATGGTGTTGCTACATTGATGCTCCATTAAGAGTTGGATAAAGAACTTAGCCAAAATATTTAATTCAGTTGTCTTATGTTCTCCATAAAAAATAATCTTACCATTTTTAGTACATTTACTAAAATCTTTTAAACTTTCCATTCCAATTGCTGCATACAAGATTCATTTTAGTGACATATTGATGAGAATGTATCTAAAATATAAAATTAATGTTTGATGTTGACTTTATTGATGAGTAATCATGCTTTTGATGTAAATGTGGATAGTTCACCATTTATGCCATCTTTAGATGTGTCTGGTTGCTTCATTGGTGGCTTAATTCTAGACTAATGGAATTTCTTGTATATTTAATTTTGTTTTAAAAACTAGTATTAATAATGGTATTAATTGACCACTTCTCAAATATCTGTAATTAGGCAACTTCGTTAAGTACTTTGTTATCAGATTGTTCACTTAGAGTGATTTGGACCTTTTTTGGACCAGAATAATATGGAGAAATGACAAATGATGGCTACTATAAGTTGTAGAATTTGTGATTCATTTTGATTATCTCTGGCTCTAGATCAAGACCTTTGTCCAGATATTAGGGGTCATGATAAAACCCTAAAACTTCAAGTATGGAAATGGTTAAGACAGAAGGCTTATTTTATCTGTGCTCATGAGTTGCAAGTGATTTTGCTAATATTGATGTTTGGTGCTGTGGTTCCGCTTGTGCGGGAAAATTCAGCTACATCCCAAGATCAGTTTATGGTCTTTATGAAGACCAGTTGACATGGGTTTCTTTAACTATCTTGGTACCAGATAGAACCACTAGGGAGGCGCCATTGAGTTTTGAGGGGCTGATATATAAAACTTTTGCTTCTATTTGGAATTCTCCTAAAACCCAATGGCTTAGAACCAACAGATTGCCATAACCAAGTAGAACCTTGGAAGAGATGACTTCTACTGAAATTACCCATTGGGGTGCTTGCCAACCCATGTATCCTACCAAGGCTAATCCAGGAGCCCCAAGTCCCACTTTCCTTCCTCCAAAATGGCCCTTTGTGCCCCAACTTCCTGTCCAGGGAGGAAGTCGTTTTAATCCAAGGACATAAATGTAAGCCAGCCCTTTTTCCAACAAAAGCAACCAATAATTTCTCTTTTGGCTTAGAAAGGGTGTCTGAACCAGATGGAGTTAAGTTGCCCCCTCCACAGATGGGAGTTGGCTGGAGATAGTAGTGATGGGGAGTAAGCTCCCTTTAGATGGAGGCTCCCTTTTTTTTTTTTTTGGTGGAAATGAAGGGGTGGGTCTATGGTACATCACCTGAGTTGTGGGGTAAATGTAGAGAGTGTCAATCAAAGGCAGAGCTCAGAGCTGGGAAGAAAGCTCTAGATGGCGGCTGTGCCTTGGAGAGCGCGCTGAGCCTCCTGCCTTTTTTCCCCCTCTCTCCTCCGCCACTTTTGCGCAACTTTGTGTAACTTTTGGGCGTCCTCAAGGGGCTCCTGCGGCCCCTGGTCTCTTGTGGAGGCCAGTGCTAGGGGGATCGTGCGTTTTTCGGGCAGAAAAGCAGCTTTGGGGGGACTTTTTTTCCCCCTCTCCCTTCGCCTGGTTAGAAAGAAACAGCCCAGGTCGTTGTTTTTCCCAGCTTGGAAGCCATGGCGTACCTCCATTTTTGTGCGCTCTCCTAATGAGCTTTTTCCTCCGGATCTTCTTTTTTTCTCCTTTTTTTTTAAATATTCCTTTACGGCTTTAATGATTGCCGATGGCAACTAAGCAATTGCGGGATCGTGTGGATTAATTTCGAATGTGTTATTTTTTAAAAGAAGGCGGATTTTGTTTTTTTTCTTGCCTGCGTTGCGTTTGGAACGCTTCGGAAGCGAATGTTTTCCCACGACTAGAAACCGGGTTGGGGCTGGCGTTGGAGCCTGGCTCAGGTAGGTGGGCGATGATTATCATTTTTAAAGGGGGATTTTGCCCCTTTTTCAATACTTAAGGCTTTTTCTCCCCTTTCGACCGATTTTCAACGATCCTGGAATGACGCAATAAAATACCGAGAATACTTGCTTCCAGGGTTACTTCGGGAAAGTTTTGTAGGATGCTCCCCAGGGCTGTGTTTCCTTCGCGTTTTTTTTAAAAAAAGATAAATATTTTTATTGTTTTTACCGTGCCGATGTCCCCCTTCTGTATTATTGTTCTAAGAAAGCTTCGCAGCGTCGGGACTTTTTTGTTCTTCCTGTGGAAACCTCAAAGCAAAGTGGGAGCTTACCTTTCTTTCAACTTTTGACAGTAAATACCTGGGCACAGGACTTCAGCCCAAATCCAGCCATCCTTCTACCTTTCCCTTAATACTTTAAGAATTGAAAGATGTTGAGAAATACGGACAAAAGCCAAGGAGAGGAGGGTTCAGTGCACAGCCATGCATCGAGGTATGATCTCTCAACTTTTATTTTTTTTAATTATTCTGAGCAACTGTTAACCTTTTGACAGCTTTGACTTACCATCATTGATATTAGAAATAAATATATTTCAGGGCTTTTGATTCTTTTCTTATGAAATGACCTTGAGACTGCTAAAATGCCACACCCTGTTTTTTTTTTTTTTTTGATAATTTCTGAAACTTGTGGTGTGACTGAAAAGGCCCCAAGCTCTGCTTAAAAAGTAAAGCACCTTTACACAGATGGAACCCTGTATATTATGCAGTTTCAGCTGCTAAATTTTGCTTTTTGAGGGGTTTTGTGCTGTGAAAAATGACCTTGTTCCCAATGCTGCATTGCACCATTTTATATACAAGGGATTTTTTTCTTTGAGGAATTTGTGGAGTTTAAACTTCAAGTTGAAGGCCTGACAGAAGCCTGGTGGTATTTGTAAATCAGAAACTACAGAAAGTTTTATGAATGAAAAAATGTTTATTTTAAAATAAAAAAAAGAATACATGTATTTGTTTGATCCTCCTTGCTTGTATATTCAGTTCTGGGCAAGGAACTTTGATACTATTTCAGCATTTTAGGATATTTTGATACTGTGTTTCCAAGCTTTCTCATTGATGGGGTTTGCTTATATTTTACAAAAAGCTATTATCTGAAGATATAATTTCTTGGATCTTAAGTTCTGTGCACGTCTATTTAAATGTGTATTTTGATGCTGAATATATGTATGCTGATATTTATAAGGGAAGCAGAAGGACATTTATGTTTTTTTGTTTTTGTTTTTATATTATATTGACCATACTTTGATGGAAACTAATAGTTACTTTATGAGGTTTCTAATATTTTTGCAATGTGTTTATTGATCTTTTTTTGGCTTGTTATTTGTATCCCTTTTCAGGTTTTGAATATTTTTATAATTCTAAAATACACATGATACTTCATGAGGGCTGTTTCTCAATGTATTATATACATTACCATTTGAAATAATGCCTTTTGTAAGGAAAGCCTTTGACGTAACAAGCACAATGGAAGAGAGCTCTTAAATTTTAAAATCATATGGATTGACCCATGATTTTTGGATGCTGGAGAAGCTGCTTTGATTCTCAGAAAAAGACAAAAAGGAACTTGGTTTTTTTTTTTATTGCATAATTTTCAAATCTTTGAAATTCAACTCCAAAAGACAGTGGTTAATAGTCAAATTGCTGACATTGTTAAAAAGTTGGTTTTGAAATTAGCATGCCAATATCCACATTAAAAGAACATAATTCATTTTTTTTACAAATTCAAAGAGGAAATTCAACACTGATGAGAACAGTTCTCTATTGCAAACAACAGGAGTGAGTTGAATGAAAAGAGATTAGATTAACCAGCCCTTTTAGCTTTCCTCTTCTATTCTCTTGGGTATATTATTTGCATAGCATCCACACTTCAAGTTTTGCTTTCTTGGTAATAAAGGAGTACTACATCAAGCAAAATGTTAAACACCCAACTGAATTAAAATAAGACACTCATATTAGTAGCAGTTCACATGAACTGTGAAAGCATAACTCAGCCTTGTTTGAAACTTTATATAAAGCTTATTTTCGGAATTGCAACTACTCTTCATACTGTGTAAAATGAACTTTTTTGAGGGGTGTGTGTGTGGAGTTAAAGATGTGTTTGTGCAGAAATTGTTTTAGCAAGACATCTTGGAAGTTCTGTGTACATTGCATTTGAAACTTCCTGTCTGGGGGCAGAACAGCACAGCACCTAATCCATTTGTGACATCATTCTTTTGAGATGGGTGTGAAGTTGGGTGGGAGCCAGATATACTTAAAAGATGGGTGTAACAAATGTAAATTTTAGAAAAAACTTTTCTTTGCCCCTCAATGTCAAAAACCACCATTTTAAGTGCCTCCCACTTGCTTATAAATGCAAACATCCATTCTACAAAGAACTCATTCTTCCTGTGAATAGATCAGGTAATTCTTTATTGAAGTAAAAGTTGCATTAAACCCCCCCACGTCACAGCTTCAAAGGATAAATTTGGCTAATGGTGTCTGGAATACCCCTTAGTATTCAAATACGATAGCACTGATGGAAAAGTTTTTACATTATAGCTTGCTGAGGTGAGCTTCACATCCATGTTCATCTACAACCTGGTACGTTACAAATGGTCAAAATTAACTCTTTTTCTAACCCTGGAAGATTGTTTTAAATAACTGAGCATGACCAAGCTGTTTCACTTAAGTTTAAATATGGCAGAAAAGTACTTTAGATGTTGCAAGCGAAACATCTGAGATAGTCCATGAAGAATGTTGAGTTTTTAAAAGATGTCATTGCTTTTCTTCTAAAACAGAATTCATGCTCAAGATGGAATGTACCATGTCCTTAAAAAAAATGATGCAAAGCCCACACTCAAAAGGAGCTGCTTTTAGGATGTTTCATTAAAGTCACACAAACACATTTGTACCATTAATTGATTGCATTCCTACATCACTTTCTAGCACTGCTTTTTCTGAAGGGTTTACGGTGTAAAATGCACAATGGAATCATGGTAACTTTGAAGAGCAGAAAGGCAACCCTAAATTAAAATTTTATTTGTGCGGCCTAAGCAAGGGGTGCACTCCAATGGGTTGGGCTTGTAAACTTGATGCGTCTTGGTGTGTTAATCAAAGTTCTTTTTAAAATGAAGATGTTCACCTGCTCTGAAAAGCAAGGACAAGAATGCCCATATGTATTGGCATAGAAAAGGGGTTCTGTAAATAAGGAGCTTCTGCTATAAATATATAAACCTCAGAATATTGCAAGTAGTGGCCTTTCCTTATTTCTGTAAAAGTTTGAGCTAGAAATTGTACCCAAGTACCCGGGACTGCATTCTCATTCTCGCCCCAAAACTTATTTTTTTTCAGCTCCCAAGTCTGAATTCAGTGTGGATTCACATTTAGAATGGCCTATGCCACGATAACCAGTGTTGGGTCAGATGCCTTGGACTGAGCCAAGCATAAGATGTTAAAGACTCTTCCCTTCAGGTTATAGCAAGGATAAGGTCTTCTGTTTTCCTCTGCTCCTCCACCCATTGTGGAGTGCCTTGAGACAATGCAGGGTCAAACCCTGGCTGCTAAATGCATACTCCTCTCTCAGTTGAGGTCCTTGGAGTAGTCTTGCAAGCACTCTCACATTCATGCAGCCCTGGCTCCCATTAAGTGCTCTGCTAGTGGCAGCCATTTTATGAAGCAACCCTCGCACAAAGGAGGATTATTTAAAGTAGGAGAGGCGAAGACCAAGGCAGGGAGAGGAGGAGGAGAGGGTGATGTTTAGAGACTTGAGGATTGCTGACATTCTGCCCGATGCCAGCTGTTTCGGGCAGTGGAGAAGGAGAATGGAGGAGAACGAAAAGAAAAAAAGCATTAGGCATTTTCACTGCAGGGCTGGATTGTCACAAAATGGCTGTTCTTTTGTGCCGCAGAGGCTGACAGACACATACTGCATTGCACTGTGTACTCTGGGTTTTTTTTTTTTTTTTTGAAAAAAAAAAAAAAAGAAGGGGGGAAAATCCTTCAGCAGGAAGTTGGTGGAGAGTTCAAAGGCCATCTTGGGTTGGACGCAGGCTGTGGTTGGCTGCCGTCTCACTTGCTCACAGGCAGAGTCCGGAGATGCTGCAGTCCTGCCTTCGGGATGACGTCACCTCCCTTTGCACCTCCCCTGCACATCAGCCTCCCTCCACTTGGCTAGCGGTGCCTTTCTGCTTGCTCAGGCAAGCCTGAGAGAGAACAAGCGAACCTTAGCCGAGCCGCTGCCAGTCCTGGGCTTGGAAGAGGGAAAGAAAGCAGCTGATTAGCAACCCGTGCAAATTTATTTGTGCCTTCTTCTGTTTGGGGGGTGGGGGTGGGCTTTGAAATCTTCCCCCCCCCATCCTCATCAGCTGCCAAATGATCAAGAGGCGCTAAATCACAGAAGGATTGTGAAAGAGCATATGTATACTTTGAAGAAGTCGAGAAAGCGTATATTTTGCCAGTACTCTGCAAAATCTGGAGGAAGCATGCCAACACGTTTATGGACAGTATTTACGCAATGAAGAAATGGATTAGACGACCTCGGCTTCGGAAATGCCCTTTTTCTCTTGAGGCACAGATCATTTCATGCAGGAATGATTAAAAAGTACAGACAGACTTGAAGTCTAAACTAGTTTAGTCCTTAAAAGCTTCGGCTGCAATTCAGCCATACATTTCTGTGCATGATTTCATCCAGTGTTATCTTGTTCTAACACTTTAATGCGGGTGACATCACTGCTTTGCAACTCAACAAGGTTCACACACACACACACACACCCCTTTGCCCATTTAGGAGGTTTACCAAAAGGAAAAAAAAAAACAGAGGGGAATGTCTCACCTTTTAGTATGTGTTGGGGGAGAGAGGAAGAATGGCAATATTCAATGGGTAAATAAATATTTTAGCCTGGATTTCTGAAGGCTGAATGTACATAAGAGGGAGCATAGATTCCATTCTCTGTCATCTTCAGCACAGTTGTATTGAGAGTTCAAATGAAACACAATTTATAGAGAGATGACATTAAAAAGTAGAATACTTTGCAGACAAGGCAATTGGCAAATTGTGCTTTTTATCTTGGAAGCTCATTGTTTTTATCTCAGATGTGCTTGTCACTTGATACTTTGTTATTTTCTTTAACAGATTTCCTGAAAGAAATATTTAGGGGCTGGTATAGTTTCAAACCTCTTGCTAATTCCGAAGTATTCTGCCAAATTGAATCTCAGTGCTCCTACAGAAATGTGGAGTTTCTGCAAATGCTGGTGCTTTCAAAGCCACACATCTCTTCCTGTGTACATCTTAGCAAGAGTCTGCAGAAAAGATATTTCATTTAGCTAAGAGGAATGAGTTCTGGAATGCTGAAAAACGACTTTTATCTTCTTTGCTCTTGTGGTTTCCCTATTGTTATCTTCATGGCCTTTCAGATGTGATTTATGGATGGTTTATTCGTTCTGCTTGCTTGTTCTGGAAGA